ATGCACACTGAACTCAGATACAAGATCATTTTCATTTTTAAGTTGTAGTTGTTTTATTTTAGGGTGTTCACTGCTGCGGAGATACCGGCTCTTTCTTCTTCCCTGTTTCTCCTCCCTTTGGAAGGATATATCTCTCCAATTTGTAGGGAGGGAGGGAGGGAGTGAATGTGAAACTGCAGCAGCTAATACCCCTGCTCTTCTTTCATTTCAGGATGACTACGTTCTGGAAGTCCGCCACTTTCAATGTCCTAAATGGCCAAATCCAGATGCTCCCATAAGCAGTACCTTTGAACTTATTAACGTAATCAAGGAAGAGGCCTTAACAAGGGATGGCCCCACCATAGTTCATGACGAGTACGTTACCTCTTTTCTCCTATTCATGTGCAGGATGTAGAAAGAGTTACTCTGCTATGGGATTAATGTCCTTTCTTTCATGGGGTGGATGGGTCTAGGTGGCCTAAGTAACAGGATGAGCTTTAAGCTTCCTGAGGTGAGGTATCCATTGGCAGCTGAAGCCAAGTACGTTTTGTTTAGGCTGGATTATGCTGTTGGTTCTGGTCCTTCCAGATGGGCTCAGAAAGTCGGGCACTGTCTGCTTTGTAAGCGCTCGGGGTTCTTGTCTGCTTGGAAGCTTCCCAAGCAAATTCTACAACCAGCTTAAAAAAACAAAGGCAAAACAGCAGGGCCGTGGTTTAGATAACAAATACTTCGAGCAGCCCCATATGGTCTTGTGGAAACCTGAGCTCCTACCTGACAACTCAGGTTCAATGTGCCACAGAAGATAAGGAACAAGCTCAGCTGAGCTGTGTCTCAGGATGATTAGGAAGTGTGTCTTGTGACAGAGGCCAGGTTTGCTTAGAGCAAATCTGTTTTTCTTCCTTCTGCTCTCCCCCAAAACCAGTCCAAGAGGACCATGTGGTGCCAGGCATGAGGTGGGGAGCCACTGACACAGGGCCAGCGTTTCGCCAACACTTGTCTCTCTTGTAGAGCTGTGGTGTTCACTGGCTCGCCAGCTTCATGGTTATAAAGAGTGCTAAATACTACATTGCATACATTGCTACATTGCTAAATAAAGAGTGCTAAATACTACATTGCATACAATATCTTGCCCTGGCAGGCAGAGAGCATCCTCAAGTTGCTCTGTCATTAAAGTCATGGGGAAAGCTGCTCCTGGCACTGGTTGAGTTGCCACCAAGCCTATGTAAATACCTGCTGCCCCTTCTACACGCCCGCTCCCAGCTCCATCAGACCTTGGCCGTTGCTGCAAAGCAGAGTTAATGGGAAAGTCCTGGAAATCTTCACTTTTTGTGCAACAATGTCATTACTTTACCCTGGTATTTCAGTGGTCAGATCAGCCTTGTTGCTGGTGAGATCAGCCTTGTTGCATGTTGATATCTGCCCCTGCCCAAGGAGTCTTCTCTTCACGTCAGTGTATTGCTGCAGCAACAGGTCTCTCCCAGCAGACTCGTGCAAGTGGCGCCTTGGCCCACAGCAAGTTAGTTTTTCTCCCGCTGTTTCCTGCCTTGCCAATGCACAGTGTAAGCTCTGCTGGCTTTTGCAGCACTTATTAATTCCAGACTGGTTTTAATATTCATGCTTTGGGTAGTCTGAAGCGAGGTTTTGCTACTCTTGCAGTATTTAAGATTATGTTTTACAAAATTAGAACCATTATTGATTTGGGCATTTCATGCTAGTGGAAAAAAAAATCAGAATTGCATTTCTAACAGTGCTGAGTCATTCTTTCTGCAAATTGCTTTTTTGGTTTATTTGTCATATTCAATGGTTTTTATTTTTATATTATTCACATAATGTGGATGCTACTTTTCATTGGAGCTTAAGCAAATGTAGCTGAAGATGAAAATTCCCCTTTGCTATATGCAACAGCTATATCACATAATCCACTAATAATTACAACTGCAGATCAATTCCAAATACATGGATTTGCAAACACTACAGGCATATGGTATTTAGGAAGTACATGGTGGAATGACTTGCTAACAAAACATTTTGAAGAAGTATGTTCAGAGATTGCAGCTGAAGACAATTGCACTGAGTGCTACCAAGTTCAAGTCAGGTATTTTGAATATAATTGCGTGTGTTTAGGCAACTAGACAAAGATTCATTGCATGATTTGAGGTGGAACGGTGGTCAGATCCACTGAGATCGCATCTCAGTTTCCCATTTCTAGGCAAATTAAGTTTGCAAAAACGGTATGAAATCAAGGCAGCCTGTGTCTCGATTTCCACAGAAATCTTGTAAAAATACTAGTGGGAACCTTACTGTACCGCATGGCGTGGCGGTACTCACCAGTCATTTCAGTGTAACTCAACTCCAGTGCCCCTTTCCCAGATGGGGACACTTAGACTCAGTCCTGCACCGGGACAGGAATTGGGAATTCCGGGAGGACAGAGGCTCCTCAGAAGCAGTTATGGGCTCCTTTGCTTGGGATCTTTATGGTGCCCCAGAGCTGCACTTGCAGTTCAAAGGTACCCACCGGGCTGGCGTTCAGCAGCAGTTCACATTTTTGCCTGACCCCTCTCTCAAGGACACGCTGTGCGTCATTCTCCCGACACGTCACCATTGCTCAGGCTCTTCTTAAATGACAGCACAGCTCAACATAGCCAAATCGCTGATGTCTCAAGCACCCAGCTCAGGAAGGTTGCATTTTGCCCATGATTCAGAGCTAAGGAAGACTTCGAGGGGCGTCAGCCGTAGCCGGATCACTGATGTCTCTCGGGCACCCAGCTCAGGAAAGTTGCATTTTGCCCATGATTCAGACCTAAGGAAGACTTCGAGGGGCGTCAGCCCCATTTACTCATGAGCAACTCGTGTCCATGTTAGTTTTATATAATTGTCAGACGTGGAGGAAGAGGCCGAGTCTCATTTCTGCCTAATAGTTTGTGTTTTGCTTGAGCTCCCACTAACGAATTGTAAAATAAGCTCCACTATAATGCAGGTGCTGCTGGTGTTTTGGAACCTGACTACAGGAGCGCATTCTCCTTATTTTCCTGCTCGGGTTCTTTTTATTGAAAACTGCAGATATCCTGAGGTGACTTGTATCCCGCCCAATTTCCTTTTTAAATTAAAAGGACTAGAGCATAAAGCAGAGCCTGTAGTGGCTATAAAGAGGGGCTGCAATGCCCCAACAAGCGGATTCCCAGGCTGTGTGTGGGGCCCGGGCGCTGGCGGGGGCCTCACGGCTGTGCTTGTCCCGCAGGTACGGAGCCGTGTCGGCAGGAACGCTGTGCGCCCTCACCACCCTGTCCCAGCAGCTGGAGAACGAGAACGCCGTCGATGTCTTCCAGGTGGCCAAGATGATAAATCTTATGCGGCCTGGAGTCTTCACAGACATTGTAAGTCTTTAAAGGGACTAGAGACCGGTAGTTTACAAGGGTTTTGTCTGAACTAAAAGGCACATGCAGCTTCGGGTCTGTTGTCAGGCCTGATTGCTTCTGTTACCAAGCACCGGTTATATCTGGGCTTCTGTTTTTATTTTGTATCGCTGTCATTTCTGTACACTAGGAGGTCTGGGGTGGCAATATTAAACTAGAGTAACAAAGGTAATTACACTCTAAGTATTTTTCCTCGCTCTGTGTCTGATTGTGGTAATGATGCATTTTATTATCTACAAAATGCGAAAGAACAGTGCTTCATGTCCTGCTACATCGTAGTGCCTTCACAGAGGAGCGACTTCTATTTGCTGGGCCCTCAGGAAAAGGGAGGAATATCATTTATCTGGATTCTATAGTTTAATGATATCAGTGGTGTCTGCCCAGAGAAAGCAACAGGAGGAGAGTAAATATTCAGTAAGCAATCCGAAGAATTGGCACCTTGGCTGTGAAGCATGTGTTCCAGCGCATTCTCCATTGCTGTATTTCTGTACCCTGTCAGATGGCTGCTTTGGTGCTGTTGATATTAACCGCCTGGAACATCTTGTATGAAATGTTGGGGTTTTTTTCTTTTTCTTTCCACAAGTATCCGCGACCGAGCCTGGAAATGCCAAATTTAAGTGCCACTCACGTCCATATCCTGCGAGGTTGCACTGATTTGTCCTCTCTTTTCCAGGAGCAGTACCAGTTTCTTTACAAGGCAATGCTAAGCCTGGTCAGCACTAAGGAAAATGGAAATGGTCCCATGACACTGGACAAAAACGGTGCTGTGATGGCCAGTGATGAGTCGGATCCCGCGGAAAGCATGGAGTCTCTTGTCTAATTGGAAACCTGGAAAGGCACTTAATTTGTAGAACTTCTGAAGACTGAGCGAACTTTTTTGAGGCCTTTTTTGCCAGACTCTAGGTTATACAATAACCCAATTACTTTTTTACACTGATAAAAGTTTTGATATTTATTTTTTGCCATTTTATGTCTTAATGGTATCCTACTGAGCATTTGCACCTCTGTTTATTTCACACAGTGAAACGCAATTTTATCTAGTTTGCACTATATGATCAGTGTTACTGCCTATAATATTCTAATACAAAACAAGCCCTGATGTGACATTCCATGACAACAAACATACGCTTTTTTGTTTTGTTTAAATGCAGTGAAGTTTTGCTAACTACAGTGATCCTTAAATCTTAGTTCTTGAATGCTAGGCCAGGTGGATTCTTTCTATGACAGATACTGTAGCCCTTCATACCATATTTATTATTTTAATGACCGTGTCACAATTTTAGTAACTGTATTCTGTACTCTGGTGGGGCGGATGAGCAAAGTTCATCCTTTCTTCACAAAATGTGGCAGGTGATTTTTAGCTACAATGAAGATGTAACAGCCTTGTGGAGCTGGAACAATTGTTTCTGTATTGTTTCCAATTACTGTTTTGTACACTCACAGGCCTAAGACTTGCTTCACTTAGAATATATAAATCACATGCAATATAAATATAAGTTAGTTGCAATTCATATGTGGGACACATTTACAGGTTTCCAATTTACAGCTCCAAAGTTTCCCCAGTTATTCAGGAAAAACGTCAAGTTTAGTTTTTAAGCAGAAGGAAATGTTTTGTTTTTATTTTCTTCAGAGCCAATACAGCAAGAAATCTACTACAACCCCAAATCAGACCTGTTTTCAGATATATCGAAGGTAGCAATATTTTACATTACTAAGCTATTCAATATTTTAAACACATTAATTTCCTTAGTATTTCTTGAATATGACCTCACACCTAATGGTATGTTACATGATGACAGGCGTTTCTTAATTTCGTAACTGTTAGATGCCATTTTTACAGGTGTGTAATTTTCATACTTTAGTGCTAAAACATAAAGTACTGATCCATATTTACTGGTGAAGCAAACTAATAAAAAAAACTACCTATAAAGTTACATTCTCCCTCTTTTTTTTGCCAGACTAATTGCTTAGCGCAAACCTGTTTATCCTGGTTTCCCTCCCGCACCAATGATAACTGTTTTCCCCAGATTATCTAAATAATTCAATTATTGGAGCATTTAAGTATAAATCCTCACCAGCTCCCTTCTCCTTTGTATTTGGCTGCAATTCAGCAAGGGTCCATCCCTATTTAAGGAAAGAAGTAAGCACATCCCTAATGCTCCTGAGAGCTGACGCAAACTGTGTCCTTCTTAGCCCTGCTGAATAGGGAGAGGTTATTGAATCTGCCTTGAAAATGGGATCTGTTATTTCAACCACCCTGATGCTTAGTGTACACTTAAAGGCACTGTCCTTTATATATGGCATTATTTTCTTTTACATTTCACAAATCACCCATGGTAATTTTTCAAAACCTGTCAAAATATTATGGCTTATTTTTCATTTCAGTGTAAAACTATTCATTTCTGCTGCCCATTCGGTCTTGCTGAAATAGGGACATTTGGCGGGGTAAAACCACTTCTCTCAGCGGTGGGGAGGGCAGGGAGGAAGCTCAGCCAGGCGGAGGGGACCGTGCGAGGCCTTTTGGATCACAACCTCCGGAGGCACTTGCTGAAGCGGCCCCAAGAGACCTGGATTTCTTGGTGCTTTTAGCTGGTTGCTTTTCGTTTTGATGGTATGGTGGGAGATAGTGGTTTGTGACACACTGCTGGGACAGCCTTGGTTGGAGCCCTAGATTGGAGCCCTTGGAGCCTTGGTTGGAGCCCTTGGTTGGAGCCTTGGTTGGAGCCCTTGTCTTCTGCCATGAGGATGGAGGAAGGTTGTGGTGGGGCTGAGCTCTGGTAGATGCTTTGCAAGTTCATGCGCTTGCATTGGTGTTTTCCCACACCTGCAATACTCACTCGGGGCTTAATCCATGGGGAAGTACCTTACACCGATGTCCTGTGGCTTCTCCGTGGATATTTTTTGTAGGGGGAGGTCAAGTTAAGTGCGAGCAGCAGACAGGCCGCGGAGGGTAGAGCTGCGTTGCGTTTGGCACGGGCGAAGGCAGGGGCCGCTTGTGAGGGCTGGATTAAGGGTGCACAGGAGCCAGGTCCGTCCCGCTGCGCTGTTCGCTCTCCCGTTGGGCCCGACGAGCCCGTCGGAAGGACGGACGTTGCGACGGGCGCGCGCAGGGCTCCGCCGCGATGCTCCCGAGCTCACGTCGAGCCTTGCGTGCGTGCGCCCGGCTTCCCAAGAGGCACCCTTGGGAAGTTCCCGGTCTTCACCTGGAAATCGGTGGCGTTTGCATCCCAATTCCCTAGTCCTCCAAGTGCTCCCACACAGGGGGGACCTGGCGCGCGCAGGCCGCGCGCAGGCGGCTCCGGGTGCCCCAGCAAGGCCTGAGCAGCTTCCCTTTAAAGCAGCGTTTGTCCGTAGTGTTTCAGTGTCTGCTTCCAAATGCGGATTTACAACCAGGAAAAAAACATATATAACAAAAAAACCCAAATCCTTAAACTGCTTCTTGTGTGTGACAGTTTCCATACCATGGCTCTGTTCGTTAGTGGAGTCATTTACAGCGTCTGCAGAATTTCAGTTGTGTTTTCCAATTTCCAGCTGCTTGAATTGTTTGAACCCAGAGTCACGTACCGGAACATGAGGAGAATAATCTATATGACACAGCACAACTGCCTTCTTAGTAATCTTTTTTTTTAAGCTGACATATATTATTTAAATCTAAAATATAGATACCAATTTTACCAAAGATACATATTACTAATTCTCAGCAAAACAAAAACAACTTTAAGAAAAAATTAAAATGTAGTTGTCTGAAGAGATTTAGCAATTTCTCTCAAATTCATGCCTTTTGACATCAAATCCTATGTTCCGAAGTTTATGTCAAATGGGGCCAGTAAAATTTTATATGAAGGGAAAAATGCCTATTTGTTAAGCCACTGCATTGCTTTTCTGCTTTTTTTGTTGCTTTGTTCCTTTTTTTTTTTAAACAGAGCTGTAATTCAACTGTTGCTCTTCCCCCTTTGCTCTTCTCCTCTGTGTTGCCAGTCTGACAATGTGACCTCCATTGGCTTTGCTTACCGA